TTCAAAAATCATTAATCTTACTGAGCAGGTACAAGAACCAATTGACAGCTACCCCCATTTTCCTAGTCCAAACTATTTTTCATGAAAATGCTATTGTCGCTTCTCTATTATCTGCTAATACTTTATCAAGAACAAGAGATATAAAATGAAAATTAATTAATTAACAATGTCTGTAGCCAGTAAGACAGGACTTATTTCTTACACTAGGAAGATTTTACATTTTTGTGCGTAAATATGAAAATGATCCTAAATATTGCTTTCTTCTTCTATTCTTGGGAAAAGTTGTATTGAGTCTGTCAGTTTTAAAATTTCTTGAGTGTTCTTTATGAAATATTGAACAAGTTGTAAGACTTTATACAGTTTATACTTCTCTGGGGTATCAAGACAGTAGAAAATCGTTTATTCAACTTGATGATAGCCTACTTGTGAATACTAAACAGTTTTTTGCTGAGAATTTTCCTCAGAGCCGTAAGTTATAAGATAATTATCAGGACCCCATTACAGCAAATTTTCTTGACCTTAGGAGATAGATAACAAGTAAATGCCTGTAACTATTGTGCAGTTAAGAGTAATTATGATAGGCCATTGAAAAAAAAAACTAGTATTTGATATACTTAGTTTAGAAGATATTTTCTCAGTACCTAACTATTCTTTAAAAAATCTAAAATAGAGTATTAGCAGCGTCAGTCACGCCTAGTTTCCAATTGTCAATACTCAATACTATTTCCTTAATATCTCAAAATTAACCGATTTAAATTATTAATTAAAACGACTTGCACCACTAAACTCAGGGACAATCCTAGACAGCTCATAGTTTATTTATTAATTTCGAAGCTACATTACTTACAAATCCATCGTCTTCTATTTGAGGTATGTAACCGAAAACATGACCAGCAGCCATTAAAAACTATTTAGGTTGTCCGATGAAATTAATTCACTTTAATTTAACATGAAACAAACGCAAAATAATTAAAAGTTTTTTTTTTTTTAATAAATTACGGCACAAGTTGACAAGTGTGTGTGTATTTTTTTTATATGACGTCTGTCAGTGTCGAATTTTGACAGGAAAATCCAAATGCATTCGATGGACGTGATAGGCTAAAAGGCGATCTACACTAGCCTTGGTTGTAGTAGGATATTTTATTTATTTCTATCAAGGGTTAAACGACCTGAAAATTGCTAATAAAAATAGATAAAGAACTGGAATTGGGTGCGTTGTTTTGTTTTTAAATAACTTTAGAGATAAAGGTCGCATTAGCCTTAATCTGTAGTGTAATAAATTAATTGTAAAACCATCATTAGGTTACATTAATCTTTTAAAACCAGAAAAAAAAAAAAATTGGAAGGAAGAAACTGATAACTGTTTGGTATTTCTTGAACCTAAATTTAACATTTACTTATTATCATTTTTACTTTACCTCAAAATTTTTCACATGGAACATATTCTTTTTATAGCATAATAATTAATATTCATAACAAGCAGGTGTTAATTAAAATCTTTAAAAGCAGTTCATGGCTAAAGCATATATTTATTTAGTAGATTTTTAATTTAGAAAAATTTGTCTGCCACTCAAAAAGTAAAATATAAGAACCTAATATATCAATAAATACGTTTAATGATGTCATATTGCATATTGGGTACACCTAGGGTTGCCAGACATCCTATTTTCAATATGAGGCTCATATATTTTAACTGTTTCTCATATCTCATATTAGCATGTTTAATATATGAGACTATTTCTCATATATTTTCAAAGACCTATCTATTTTTACCTGGTATGCGCGCGCAACACGAGGCAATGTCTTTTTATTGGCTAGCTAAGACACGTGTGAGGTGATCGTTTTGCACGCTGGGCTGCTGGGCATCTCTTTATCCTTGTTCATTGCACGTGCTTGGACAAGAATAAATCTAAAGTTGATAGTCAACTTGACAAGTGTCATTCAAAAGTTGTTTGACATTTTCATTGACAAATACGTTGCACAACACGCGGTTTTTCTTCTTTCCTTTTCATCCTGTGCAAATAAGAAGGACGAATTGCTATACGTAAGTCTAACATAGTTTGGTATGTTTTGCCTCGTCTTGCGCAATGAGCGTTCTGTGTCTTTTTTTATTTAATGAAGTTTTCGTATTATTACCTCTTTGTCTGGTAAAATAGATAGGTCTTTCATCTACAAATAGGAAATTCCTAACCTCATTTTATTTGTGTGTCAAGAAGCGACATACGTTTTGTCACTAAAACGACAGGTATTTCTAAATCAGTGTTGCCAATAAGCGTGTAATTACACGATTTGCGTGTATTTTGATTGGCTTGCGTGTATTTTTCGAACATAAACAAAAAGCCTGTATTTTGGGTGTAATTTGAAAAATTTGACATTCTCTTTATTTTTATTCTGTTTCACGGCTTTCCAATTTAAAGTTACGGCCCCAATGTGACATAAATAGGAGTTGACGTTTTCTTTTCCCTTAATTGCTCCTTGCATTCCATTTCATCTTTTTTCTGTCAAGTGACTACCCTTATGGCCAAGGATAATACACACGAAGGATTGCTTATCAGCCTGGTTTTTGGTAATCGCGGTCATGTGGTGCAGCACCATTGCCGACGTCATTAACTAAGTCGTCAGCTGTTTGCGCTAGCGGTCGTTTTTAAATTTATGATGAAAAATGTTAACTAATCTTGATTATAGGCGAGGAGGAAAATGCAAACAAGATATGAGAAAGAGTTGTTTTATAATGTTGATTAATAATTCATGTAGTAAAACCAAGTTTGCATAAAGCCTAGTTTTCATGCATCCGTTTATCCGTCAGTTTTCATGCATCCGTATTCCTATTGGCCCAATATTTTGGCGCCAGAATTCGGAAGTATTCCTATTGGTCCAATCTTCTGGCGCCAAAATATTGGGCCAATAGGAATACTTTCGGATCAACGGATTGACGGATATACGGAAGCATGAAAAGTAACCCTAAAGCAATAGCCCGCGGAATTATAACCTGTGGTGCGAACACCCTACGTGAAGACCAGAAATGACACGCTGTTTACGTCATCACTGGTACTTTCACATGGCAGGTTGCTTGAGATTTGATCTACACAGGCCTTATGAGAATAGGCTATCCTGTAGTAGTTGTGTGTACTATCCTTGCAGGAAACTGAAGTCCGAAAGTAACCTCTTTTCCAGGAACCGGAGTCGGGAGTAATTAGTAATTGACCTTTTGTTTGGACGCCATATCGCGGTGCGCGAACATAGTTGCCAAAAGTAGAAAAAAAAAATCACTAGCGTACTGTCAACATTAAAAACCAAAGTTACTGAATAATTTACATTTAAAATTTAAATTTGCCGCCTATTACGAATGTTTTTGAAAAAAACAGTCATCAATTTCAACTTGTATTGGGCAGAATAGAAGTAATAAAATATCTACCTATTCACTTCACCAAATTTCGGTTTCCTTTCTAAAGCCTAGTACTCATAACCGCGAAATTTGCTCTTTTTTGACATTGCTTCGTTAATTTGACGTTTTATGCGTGAATTAAACGTCAACTTGTCGAAGCACTTTTAAAAAAGAGCGAATTTCGCGGTTACTAGTTCTAGGCTTTATTGTTTATAGAATCAGAGAGAGAAAGTAAACAAACAAAAAGGATAGCGAGGATCAAACATTCAGTTACTTTTGCTTTTAATGTTGACAGCCCGCGTCAATTTGATTACTTTCGGACCGCTTTTCTGTAGTTGCACATGTTTATTTTTGGTTGAGGAGCGATGATCAGGAGCATTAACCCCTCAGATTCGACTGGATTTAACCCATTTTCAAAAATCATAAATCACAAAAAAAATAATTATACTTCTTTCTTCTTGATGTTACAGAATAGGTACCAAGACCGTGTGTAAAAATCGTGTAATTGTGGAAATGAAAGCGTGTAAAAACGTGTAATTTGACCAGCTTATCGTGTAATTTCACAAATTCAGATTGGCAACACTGTTCTAAATAGGTATTAAAAATACTATATATCACTACCATACATGTTATAGGCCGGAGTCTCATGCGTCCCATCCGACCGTTCGAAAAATTTCCCGCCACTTTTTATCCGAATATTTTCAATTTTTTTCCGACGTCGTCGAATAAATCATATTTTAATTTTGTCGTTTTTGTAGGTACATAATAAATAAAAATAAAAGAAAAAAAAAAACGATTTTGGGTCAGCGATTTGTTTAAACATCAAAAATTAACCCAAGGAAGGTGTTGTCCACAACTTGTTACAAGAAATGAGACTGATGGATCAGGAGGAGTATTTAACTAGGTACCTAAACGAATGTCCAGGGTTGCGTTCAAGGACGGCAATGCTAATGCCAAAACCTACTTTTCCCCCTCCACCTGTAATGCCGAACCACGTAAAGTTCGTTTCACCAGGGTTCATACTTGACCTTGAAACTTGAAAAAAAAGGCTTGTCGTAGATTAATTCATATGACACATTCAATTTTTTTGACAACTTAAAATGAATGACTTCTCTTTTAAGAACCAACGAACGTTTTTGACGTCATTGATTTGTTTCAGTCAATTTTTATTTGTTAAACAAGGAAGGCAAATGCTGGTGGCAAGTACAAACCCTGGCGAACCGAAATCGAACCCAAAATGCCAATTTTGACTTGGCTGTAGTCATTTCTGAACGCAGCCCGGCAATACATTCCAAATTTTGCTAAAAAGCATAGCTAATAATTATCCAATCTCATATAATTTTATACAGGGTCTCCTATTTTCAAAACTCAAGTATCTGGCAACCCTAGGTACACCCCTATCGAGAGCCCATTTTTAGCAAAATCTGTTTACAATAATTAATACAGTAGAAATTCACAGTAGATACTAAATAAACATTTTTAAAATACAAAGAAGTAGATATTTACAAAAAAAAATCATGTGATATATGCGATAAATAAATTTTACACCTGCTATCAAATGATCATTTTTATTAGTCAGTGAAATATGATTCATTAATAATAATAAAATACTTACAACAGATGGCATACAACTTATCCTCCTTCTAGCCTGTTCTTGTACCTCAATAACAGAAGGAGTCCGTTTCCTCCTGTTACGATAATGCGTACCCCAACTACTACTTCTAGGTCTAGAAATATGCGCAACTTCAATATCATTGTTGCTGTCATTATTATTACTTGTACTAGCTGCTATAGTTGGAGTTGGAAATGATGGCATTGGCATTTTTAATTATTTTAGCACCGATTTATAACATTCACAAATCACAACGCGACACTTATTTATATCTTATCCATATTTAGGTACACTATGAACACACACTACTGTTTCCTATTATTTTATTTTCCACTGTATGAATAGAGTAGACCGTCCCCATAGAAAAACCTTTCTACTAAAATTCACCTTATCTTAGTTCAAGATATTATTCGCCGTGAAACATAAGATTCACTAAATAAATAATACAGATAACACAAATAATTCTATTGTTAAAAGATAAGAACATTCAAGTGCTCTTCATTTATTGTGGCGCGATATATTTGCAATCGCGTTATTTCGCGCTTCGAGAAGTACTAACTGCTTTGGTAAATTGAATTCAAGTTTATTGAAATAGCGATCGGATCGGACACACGGAATATTCAACGATCGATTACAAAATCGAACCGACTATTTGTTTACATTTATGATCTCATTTGCATTGTTTTTCATTATTTTACACTTGTAGCGCATTAATTTTATGACGAGATGCAAATTAGAGAGAGGGAACGAATTTTCAATATGAAGGAAAACCAGGGACTGAGTAAAGTTTTCAGGGCTGATATTGCTTAAGTTTAATAGATGAGAATAGACTCCAGTACTCAAATAAACTTTTTCTACTGACGTTTCATAATACGTCTAAAATCTGTTTTATAATGATGAACTTCATTATGATACAGATTTTTCAGCCACTGGAATCTAGTATTTTGAACATGAACAATGTTTATATAAAAATAACAGACATGCTTTGAAGTTTTGGATCGTTTCTATTAGTATTTACCAGAAGAAACAACAAAAAATTGATAAATCGGGTGCGGAATTTATGCCCAAATGACGTCTAGATCGGTCTAGAGTGGGTCTAGATCTTGATTTTTGGATTTGTCAAGTTGTCAACAATTGTCACCAGTTGAGAAGTTTACTATAATAAAATAACTGTTTTTCGTTTATTAATGCAAGTAGAAAAAATAGTGTATGCAACTCTCATGTAATGGCCATTAATACACTCGCATGTTATATATACGAAACACGAAACACAAAAACACTTCGATCTAACTTTTCAACTTTTTATTCTCCATTATCTCAGCGAGATGAACCTTGCAGCGAGATAATTATTGCTTATTGGAATTTCTATGACATGACATGAAGTCCAAAAGTCTCGATGATTCCGTAATTTTCTAGATTATTCCATCCAAAGTTTGCATTTCATTTTGGAATTTTGGAAATTTCGAAATTCGAAACCTACAAGTTTTTCCCGCTAGAACGTGGTTGAGCCTGTGCTTCATAGATGGCGCCAGATTTGCTTTGCCTTTTACAGCACTTTCGACTTTTGCCTCAAAACTGCACCCGATTGATCAAAAAGCGATCCGAAACGAATTCCACATGTTGGGCTTGAAACAGAGTGTTTCACGTGTTCGACTTTAGCACTAGAAGGCTCTCAAATCTCACACGAAGCGCTCTTTCCTGCTTCATCAAGGATCAAAGAGTTTGAACAAAGCTAGAGTACGTTCAACCACTGGCGGCTCGTCAGAGGAGGCAGGTGAGGCTAAGCCTCCCCCAAAAAATTGAAAATTCAATCTCAATTTTTAATCCCTAATTCTTAATTAAAATAATAATTATTAACAAATTACACTTTCCAAATTTCAATATTTTAATGTAATTTGGAACAATCTGACAACTTTATTTCAAATAATTCCGCGCCTCCATGACAAAAATTTGTGAATCTGTCGCCGTCCTGTAATTATTCTAACATAAGAAATCGACTGGAGGCTAGACTCTCACATGCTTCACTGAAATCTAGCATTCAAATGGTTCGCGAATCTCAACGTCCAATAGAAATGCCGGAAACATATCGGACCACTACTGGCGTTCTGCGACATCGTCTCGAGAAGCGGCTAGCCGCACGGTTGAAAAGAACTGCCATATATCCTTGCTTTTTTTTATCTCTGTTTTATGCATTTAAGAGTTCCATGTCACTTTTCTAGTCGGAAGTTGTAGATTTATAGTTGATTGATATTTTTTTGCATCGGGTACATTGTAAATTATCGTGCAACTGTGCATCTTCTTGCAGAAAGTACATAATTATTGTCATTATTAATCATAATTATCAATTTGTGTCTTCGTTGTAATTTGTATTTCCTATTTTTCTTCAAAATTAACTCTGAAAATATATAGATACTTATATAAAGAAAAGGAACACTTTCGTAAGTATTCATGATTTTTATTGCATTTGAGATAAATTATTGAGGGCATGGGCACTCCAAAACAAATTTTGCCTGCTGCGCCAGTGGCGTACCCAGACATTGGTTTTAGGGGGGGATACAAAATTATCAGGGCAAATTTTCAATGAACTGTCGGATTAAAGCTTTTTATAAAGCAAAATCTAGTCGCCTAGGTCTTTTTACCAGTTCACCTATGATTTCATTTTCACTCGCAGATAGTTCTCTATGGATTGACATCATTGCCAATCCATTAAGCCTGTTTTGACATGTAGAGCTGCGAAGATAGGTTTTTATTCTTTGTGTTGAGAATGTCCTCTCTGGGGTGGCTGTGGATACTGTTTAAAAATCTGTTTATGGTTAGAAAATCTCTCTTCTAACTGGCCAATGAAATGATCAATAAATGGAAAATTGATGGCAGTTCTAACAGTGTGACAGTGACACTAGCTTTGTTTTGGTTTCACTCAGAACTAGTTCGGAATCATTCTGCACATGCGCATATTATAAAACGCATTTTCGTTATTTCAGAATCGTAATCGAACTGTTGTGACAGTGTTTTGGTTTATCTAGAACTATTTAAGAACAATTCTGGGATGGTCTAGAACGGTTCTCTCAGTTCTTGCTCTGAAGGAGGAACTGTTCTAGAATTTTGTGATTTGCGTCGTGTTTAGGTTTTTTTGGTTCCGAATCGGTTCAGAACTAGTATTAGAACAGTCCTCAATTATTTTTTGTGCGCAAGCAGTTCTGCGCAATCCCAGAACCGTTCCAAATTTCGAACCAAAACAAAGCTACAATCGCACCATGACCAAGGTTGCCATTTCTAAGGAATAAGGATTATGAGAAAATTTCCCTAAATCTGAGTGGGGGAAATATATAGTCGAATGAAGGAATTCTCCTCGGAATTCTCTATTGAATTACTTTGGTCAAGGTATCTTTCATTTTTTCATTATCACTTTGACTTTTGCTGGTATGAGCATTTGATGGGACTTCCTGGGGTGGGATAGATCCCCCTTATGCCCCCGTGGGTACTCCACCGTGCTACGCAGTGGTTACCAACGTAATTCATTATTTTTAGCCTCCTCACTTGAAATAGTCACGAACCGCCACTGCGTTCAACTATCGATTTCAAATGGTTTGCCCCTCGTTTGGATTATAATCGCTCTCGGAGCACTCTCAAGCCGGGCTCAGACGACTCGTGTACTTGGCGAATACACAATTATTCGCGTACTTGGCAAGTATACGAGCTTTGCGAATTGCGATGGCAAGCAGGGCGCTCACACGACGTGTTACAATTTACAAGTACGCTAGCGCGAACATTTGGCTAAACCTTGACAAATGACTAGAGCACAGTGGTGTGGCAGTCAATATGAATAGCGGTCATCTGGAAAACCTCGCTGTTGCTTCCACCGCTTTTGTTGTGATGAGCTCTGCTCGTTTAATTAAATTAAAAGCAAAGAAACAGAGAAGAAGAAGATGGTGGAAGGTATCATTAAATAAAAGTCGATTTCTAAAGATAAAACAAACAAAACCTCTGTACTACGCTTCTGCTAGTCGAAAACTAAATGAAATAGTCGCAGTAAAAGCCAATTATTTGTGCATACCGTTTGAGCGCCTCTACAAATATAGACAAGTATGAACTTGGCAAGTGGCAAGTATGGGCTTGGCAAGTGGCAAGTTTGAGCCCGGCTTGAAGCCAGCACGACTCGTGTACTTGGCGAATAATCGTTACTTGCGTATACTTGCCATGTCGTGTGAGTGTACTTGTACAATTATTTGTCACTCGTTGGTTTTCCATTTCTTGTCGGTAAAAATGTTCCGAGTCAAAGGGATAACGATTATTTGTACACTTGCCAAGTTCATACTTGTCTATACTTGTAGAGGCACTCAAACGAAATGCACAAATAATTGGGTTTTACTGCGACTATTTCATTTAGTTTTCGACGAGCATCAAGGTTTAGCCAAATATTCGCGCTCGCGTACTTGTAAATTGAACACGTCGTGTGAGCGCTCTGCTTGCCATCGCAATTGGCAAAGCTAGTATACTTGCCAAGCACGCGAATAATTGTGTATTCGCCAAGTACACGAGTCGTCTGAGCCCGGCTTAGTGAAGCCAAGTTTTTGGCAGGTGTTCGAGACCAAAATACAGGTAAAGCATTGAAATTTCCATTGAGAATTTCATACATCTGTCAAAACTGGTATTCCAACAATGAATTGACATGTTTTGATTGTTGATTTGAACCAATCATATTGTAATTACGCGATAACTTGCACTAGTGCAAATTATCAGATAATTGCATACCTGGTGCGAAAACTGGTGTTTTGACATTTTTTGACAAAAAATTTAAATTTTTGATTTATGAAATTCTCTCATTAAATACAACTCGTGCAATGGAAATATATTTATAATTTTCGACAAATTTGCACTCATGCGTTTTTAACTGAAAAAGGCACTCGTGCACTACGTGTACTCGTGCTCTTTTTCAACTAAAAATGCATTCGGGCAAATTTCCCAAAAATTATCAATAATTTCCATTGCACTAGTTATATTACTATTGAAAATTTCCTATGCCGCCATTTTTTTGGTGCCAAAATACCTGAAAAAAAAACCGGCTTCATGTTCCAACTCCATGTTACTACTCCTCTTTACCTTTACCTGCTCTAAGCACTAGAACGACTAAGTACCAGTCGGTATTAAAAATTGTATAGTTCTAATCTTGAGTTAATAATCTATAAACGCTGTCAACACAGTTCGAACACGATTCTGAAAAAATGAACACGCCTCTCATAACATGCGCATATTCAGAATGATTCCGAACTAGTTCTGAGTGAAACCAAAACAAACCTTCCAGTTCAAGCTGCTCACACTCCTGACAGTTCTAAAATTAGTTATTGCAAGAGCCCGAACATAGAGCCCGAATATTTCACTTTTGATTTGAAAGACGCGTCACGTACCGTCACGTTTAGGTCCATTTTGTTACACGAGCGAGAAAAAATATATAACGTAGAGAGACGGAGAAAGACGGCCATTGAATGACACAAACCAAGGACTATAAGCAAAGAGGATTCCCTATTATTGTCAAGCGCCGGCGCCGATACTCTTGAGGCGTCACTACAGATGCGCGTTACTCTTTTGTGTGGTCCTTCGTCTTAACTCGGACTCAAACGCTAAGTCTAAAGTTCAATTCTCACTTACGCGAAATTCGCTCTTTTTTGACATTGCTTCGAAAATTTGACGTTTAATACACGCATAAAACGTCAACCTGTCGAAGCAATGTCAAAAAAAGAGCGAATTTCGCGCAAGTGAGAATGAAGCATAAAAGTTGAATGAGGGGGAATAATTTCTAGAAGTTTAACTTCTTAACACGTGTACCATGCTTCACATGATTTTTTTATTAATTTTAAGATTTTTTCATTGTGCTA